GACACTGCAAGTTTGCACTAGCCCTCTTGAGCTCCTGCCTCTCACTTTGAGAACATTACATCCCAGATAGTGAGTACTCCTTCAACCTGGGTCCTGGAATAAAAAGACATGTGGATCAGATCCTAAGTCAATCCAGTCTGCCACAGTGCTGTTTCAGCTGTTCCCTCAGAGTCTAGGGCAAGAAAAAAATATTTCCATAAGTCAGTGAAGTTTCACAATTGTTTGTTATATAGCAATAATCCAGAAAAATCTGACAAATACATATGCGTAACAAGGTTATGACGGCATGCTGGACTGAAAAAGAGGGAAAATAACATGAGATTTTGAGTCCATTACACTAGAGTTCAAATCTTAGCTCTGAACAGCTACCAGATGTGTGACCCTGTCTGGGCAAGCCTCAGTGATCCCTACCTTGTTGCATTACTGTGACAATCAGCAATAGTACTAAAATGTACCTTGCACAGTGCCTGCCACGCGATAGGTACTTGATAAATGGAACAAATAATCCAATTAGTAATAAAGGATGGCAAAATATCTTCCCAATTATCCACGATTAAAGTGCCAACTGGAAATTGTTCATCTCAATTAAATATTTCTTTAATTAACCAGATAAATAGAAAAGGTGAAACCATTGCTCAAGTTTGTAGCTTCCAAAATATTTATAGAAAATTACATTTTGAGATATATACTGTGCTCTTTCTAAAATGGTGTAAAACCTCTGAATAGTCAAGAATATGATTCCCTGTTGTGTCAAAGAATAAGAATGCATTCTTTGTGAAGAAAAAAAATGATTAAATTGCATCTTCCAGACTAGTGATTTAAATCGTGATCAAATCCACTATAGTTTGGGAGGCCCTCATTTAATCCATTTACTGTGAACATTATTAAACATTTATTAAATGCTTGCGTATAGCAAAGAATTTCAAAGGTATGGTTTGGTTCGCAGAGCTCCAAGAAAGTCAAGAACATAAAACTACTAAATGTATCAACTAATCCCAGCGCACACACTGTCACAAAACGTTAAGCACTACAATTACTGAAGCATAGAAATAGATTTTTATCCATTGGGAAAGCATTCAGGAAAAATCACCACTAATAAATAATAAAAGATTTATTTGAATTGTAAAAGTTGACTAGAAAAGAAATTTATTTAAGATATGAGCTCAAGTCTCTGCCTTTCAAAAAACTAAGAAAAAATAATTTACAGAAAAGATACATATAATCTGGTAGCCACTGTCTGAGTAGCTCAAGTAAATTTAGGGTAGTGTTTGCAAACCACATGAGGAGGAAATGCTTGAAAAGCTTAAATGAAGATTCCTGGGCTCCCACTCCAGACCTATTGAATGACAAGCATTGGGAATTTGGCCTGTGAATCTGCATTTGTTAACAAACCCTCCCGGTGACTCGTGTGTACTCTGAGAGCTGCTAACCAATGCAAACCCTGGGGTAATCTTTGGCAGCTGACTTAAAGGTTTTAAAAGCCTCAAATTCATTCTATGCCCACAGGTTAAATAAAGACAAAGGAGTCTAGACCTGAGAGTCAGTAATCGCTACAGGGCTAAACAGCTTTTCATTCTGCCAGCAACTCAAACCATATATTTTTTTTAGCACTTGGAAGCAAAAAACTGATGGATCATTCAACAGTAGTATAAACTCAACAGCACTAAGGTGATGGCTTCTCTTATTGGGCACACAATTGCCAAACTTCTCTTCAGCCCTAGCATCACCTGGAAACAAGTCCAGGTGGTCATTCCTCAGCAGCTCCTTGGGCTTAGATTCTAAAATCTACAAGTGCTGAGAGGAGAGAAAGAAAGATGGTTAAGATTCTATGGACACTCTAATCTTCATAAAAAAAACTCAACAAGCCCAAACCTTTTTTCCCGTAATATAGAGAAAAAACCCAGTTGTGTTTTCTAAGAGAAGGGAACAGAATGAAATAATAAAGGAGGAAAGACATTGCTACTATAATTTTAAAACTATGAAAAAATCAGAAACATGTAAGAATTTAAAGGAAAGAGCACTGGATTAGGACTGAGGAGATGTGGGTTCAAGATGCAGCTTATATCCTCTAAAATCTATGTGACCTTATAAACTCACTTAGCTACTCTTTAACTCAAAGGAGTTAATGTTTATAGGAAAGAGGTTTTTAAGTCACAAAGCAATGTGAAAATATAAGTGGCATTAGTATCGTTGATGACAAAAGTTTTCATTTTAATTTTTAATTTTTTTTTTTTTTTAAGACAGGGTGTCACTCTGACACCCAGGCTGGAGTGCAGTGCTGCAGTCACTGCTCACTGCAGCTTCAAACTTCTGGACTCAAGCGATCCTTCTGCCTCAGCTTCCTGAGTCACTGGGACTACAGGCATGCACCACCACACCCAGCTAATTTTTTGTATTTTTTTGTAGAGATGGAATTCCACTATGTTGACCAGGCTAGTCTGGGACTCCTAAGCTCAAGAGATCCACCTGCCTTGGCCTCCCAAAGTGCTAGAATTATAGGCATGGGCTACCATGACTGGCCAATTAAAGGTTTTTTTTAAATATATATATAATTCAGAATATAATGGAGCAAACGCAAATACATATCTTTTCTAAGTAATACCCAAGGTAAAAACATTGTAGCAAGTTACTTGTTGGAAAATCTAGGCCACTAATACCAAATTGTTCCTACTTTTCACTGTATCAGGTAAACCAAAATGCAACTTCCTGATTAAAGAAAAAAACAACTGGGTATGACTTGATGTAGTCATCTATATAGCAGTGGTGAATGATTCAGTTCGAACTTTTCCTGTGACCTACCTACCCACATTTACCTGAGTTTCAACACTAAGTTCATCACTAGAGAGCCATACAAACAATGGGACTATAAAGAAATCAGGAAGGTTAATCAATGACCAGCACCATTAGTCAATAAGTCCAGGGTTGCAAGGATTTTGAAACCTGTTTAATACTTTATTGCCTTACAGATTTTAGCTCAACACCAAATTTCAGTGTAGTTGGGAACATGCAAGGAAATTCCAACTTATCTTGAGATGGGTGAGAGCAAGGTACACTGCAGTTACACGAAGCTAAGTTTGAAAGTAGGCTCCATATTCTATGTCTTCTCTGAACCTCAGTTCATGAGTTGGTAATTATCAGTCCCACCTCATGGTGCTGTTGGAAGAATTAAATAACACCTGTCTATAAAACCCTCTGTACAGTGTCTGGCACATTGTAAGTACTCAATGAACTCATTATTATTAGTAGTAAAGTATTAGTACAGAGTAGGCACTCGGTAAAGGCTAGTTCCTCTCTTTTAACATTTTGTACTTAAAAGGTAGAAATATATTCCAACCAAATTTTAAGGGATACATGATAACATACAGTATGTGACAAAGTCAGGGTGAAATTTCCTAACACTGACTTTTTTAATCTACTATTGCTATGAAAACCAATTTTACAATTTACACTGGCCATAATTAGAGCCTATGTATACAAAAGTTATAGTTTAAACTTGAGACGGTACATACAGCTTTCTTGCTACCTAATATTTAATATAGTTTCTTAAATCATTTTTCTGGTATTGTGGATATACAGTTAGTGTGTCTATATGGTTACCTTCCTACCACCTGTTCTAATCATCATCACTGGGACTGTTATGAACAGAATGTACATATATGTCCCCTACAAATTCACACTCAGAAGCCCTAAACCCCTATGTAATGCTATATAGAGACACAGCCTTTAGGAGGAAGTTAGGTTTTGATGAGGTCATGAGGGTACAGCCTTAATGATGGCATTAGTGCCCTTATGGGAAGAAAAAGACCAAAGCCTGCTCTCTCTGCCATGTGGGGACACGGCAAGAAGTTGGTAGTTGGCAAGCCCAGAAGAAGGCCTTCATCTTGACTGTGCTGGTGCCCTGATCTTGGACTTCCAGCTTCCTGAACTATGAGAAATAAATATCTGTTGTTTAAATCACCCAGTCTGTGGTATTTTGCTGTAGCAGCTTAAGCTGACTAAGGGAGCAAAAGCACTCTATGAATATTGTGGATAAGTATCTAATGTATGTAAATGAGCTCTGAAAATGGTAAGGTGCTAATATCACCATTTAAACAAGACTAGGGAAGACACAGGCCCTCACTTGAGATGTCTACAATCTAAAGTCTAGAGAAATGCACAGTGGTAACAAACCAACAGAAACACACACATACACAGAGACAGGCGTGTGTCCAGGCACATGAACATTTTAAAGACAAATAGCAACAATAACAAGTATTTCTAAAAACCTGTATCTTTATCTATGAATGAATAATTTTAAAAGTAAGTCAGAAGCAATAAAAATACTAGAACAATTTTGCCCCATATTTTTAAATGTTTTGTAAAAAATCCCCTTACAAATAAATTCTTAAAATCAATTTTTATAAATAAAATTCATAGCAAGAGTCATTTATTCCATTAAGAAAGCATTTGCAGAAGCACACCTCCTTATATTAATGGAGCTACAGAGTGCAAATGCCCATCGTTCAAGGACCAGACGAACCCATGAAAGATAAAAGACCAAGCAACTAATGCAATATCACTTCTGCAAAGCCTTACTGTAAAGGGAAAGATTCTTATATAAGATCCATTTGAAAATCCATTTCACACTTCTAACTTAAAGCCAATTCAAATGTAATTTACTTTATCAGATTCCTTCATTTAGAGAGGGTCAGGAGTACAATCAACAGAAGTGACAATTACTTAGCCTTATCAAAAGATGACCTGGTAGCAGTAGTGCTGAGCAAGAAAAAACAAAACAAAACAAACCAGGACTCCCACTGGAAACCATGGCTGTTAGTGTCTAAACAGATCTTCTAACAAACCAGAACATTCTAAGAAAAAGCATCCACGTGCGTCGTCTCTGCACCAAATGCAACCTCATTTGTCATTCTATTTTAGTGGCCTAACATTCCTTTACTTTTCCAATGTTGACCATTTAAAAGAGTTGAAACAACACTCTTGGCACAAAATATTACACTTACCACTCTCGTCGTCTATACTGAACCTTCCAAGACCACTGCCATCCCTGATGGAGTACTGGATCTCTCCATCCCTTCCGGAGTCTTCATCTCGAGCAGTCACCTGCAGCACGCTTGTTCCAATGCGTGAGTTTTCTTTTACAGATCCAACAACAGCAAAGTCTGGGAAATAGGGAGTGTGGAGGTTTTCATTGACATCCACCACTTCCACCTCAACAAAGGAAACAGATGACAGAGAGACAGGCCGCCCTTTGTCTTTGGCCCGCACAGTAAGGTTATAGAACTGCTGTTTCTCATAATCAAGCTCTTTGCTCAAGCGGATGGCACCACTTGCTTTATCTATTTCAAATCTCCCATTATAGTCATTGACCAAGGAATAGCGTACTTGACCCCCCAATCCAAGATCTGGATCATGGGTCTCAAGCCAAGCAATGACAGTGCCAACAGGGAGATCTTCAAGAACCTTCACACTATAGCTACTGGGAATGAAAGCTGGGGAGCAGTCATTGACATCATCTAAAAAAACTTTAAGAGTGACAACTGAAAACAGTTGCTGACCACTTTCTGCCTTGTCCCTGGCTTCTATTTTCAAAGAATAATTGGCTTTGGATTCCCGGTCCAACTGGTCGGCTACATAAACAATTCCAGTTGAGCTATTGATGGCAAACTGCTGTGTATCTGTCAAGACTGAGTAAGTCACTTCACCATTAGAACCTAAGTCTTTGTCTCTGGCTTCCACTTGAATGATTTCAGTACCAATGCCTGAACTTTCAAGAATGTTAACTGAGTAACTGTCTTGAATAAAAACTGGGCTATTGTCATTAGCATCCTCCACATTGATGGTCAGCAGTCTCCATGATGATTTCTGTGGATTACCTAAGTCATAGATGGTGATATTAAGGAGATAGAGGTCTGTGTGTTCTCGATCCATGGGCATAAGGACTTTCAGCTGCCCAGTTTCCATATCAATATTAAAGCAACTATCCGTATTTCCATCTGATATTGTAAATAGCACTTTTCCATTGAAGCCAGAGTCGGCATCATAGGCTTTAATCTTCAGAATGTTAGCACCAACTGGCAGATCCTCCTTTACAGCCACATCAGAAGGAAAAGACTTGTCAAAATATGGTCCCTGCCTATTAATTGAATAAAAGTCAAGAAATCCATCTTCCAGATTCAGTTTCCCATTTGCTTTTGCCTTAATGAGTAGTTTCTCTGCCAGCTTTTGAGCCACACGAGTTTCTCTGCAGCTGAAGCTCTTTGAAGACACCTTCCCATGTAGGACGGAAATGTTAATAGACATGGGGTCTGCAAGATTCTCTCCATCAGTTGCTGTAATTCTGAGGGCAAAATTGCCATTTTTAATGCCAGAATTTGTCAGTGATTTTTTAAGCTGTAAAACACCAGAGTCTGGGTTTAAATAAAAGAAGCCAAGTTCATTTCCAGAAATTATTTTGTACTTTACAAGTTCAAGTTCATCGATATCGATTGCTGAGACTGCTGTGATGTGTCCACCGACCGGAAAGTCATATGAAATAACTCCCTGGCAAGCCACTTTTTCAAAGAGAGGGCTGTTGTCGTTGACATTTCCTATTCGAATAGTCACATTGACCTCACTTTCATGGCGGTACGGCGAACCCCAGTCAGAGGCTCTAACAATGAATCTGTAAATTTCTGGGGAGGATTCAAAATCCAATTCTTCAGTTGTGCTAATAACACCTGTAAACTGGTTAATGGCAAATGGTAACAGATTCAGGCTAGCGATACTATAGGTGATGTACCCATTTTCCCCTTTATCTTTATCAGAAGCTGAAACTGTTAGAACACTGGTTCCCACCGGAACACTTTCATTCACATTAGCATCGTAGAGTGGTTGCTGAAATTCTGGGGTGTGGTCGTTCGCATCTTCTATGCTGATGGTGACTTGTGCTTTTAAATCTCCTTCCTTGTTTGTCACCTCCAGTTTATAAACCTCCTTCTTAACAGTATTCAGTGGCTGTGCTGTAACAATCAGACCTGACCGAGGATTAATTTTGAAGTACACTGCATCCTCACCAGGAGATAATTTGTATTCCACATCTATCGGTTCAGGACTTAGTTTTACTATAGCAACCACGACACCAGGAGGGGAAAATTCACTTACGCTCACATCGTACACTTCTTTTTCAAATCTAACGGGGACAGTGTCTCTTGTGGGGTTGCCAATGTGGACTGCCTTTAATGCTGAAAATTTTTGAGGAGATCCCTTGTCTTTTGCTTGAAGAGTGAGATTGTAGCCATAGGGAAAGCTCTCCCAGTCAATCTGCTTCCTCTCCTTAATCTTGTACTCATTCAACCACTTTCCTTCCTTAGCCAGGAAGAACTGATCTAAAGGATCCCCAGCCACAATGGAGACAGATTCGATCTCTCCATTGGCTCCATCATCTAAGTCATCAACTGTTACCACTGCATATGTCGGCTCTTTTTCCAATGAGAAAGGAACATGAGTGACCACCTGGATTGTTGGGGCATGTTCATTTATGCGCTCAATGTGAACATAAAGCTTTGCAGTACTGCTCACTCCATTGTTTCCATACAGTTTCATTCCCCGGTCCACAGCCAAAATTTCCAGATCATACCTATTCTTTTCATCATAATTTAATCGGCCACTTAAGGAGATGACACCACTCGTGGGGTGAACTGAAAAGAGATCAACTTTATTTTTAAAGTAGTAGTAGAATTCTCCATTGGAACCAATATCTGCATCTGTTGCAGTCACCTGGGCGACACTAGTCCTTAGAGGTGTGCTTTCTGCTATGGTAACAGAGTATGTTGTGGGTGAAAACAGAGGTCTCAGATCATTCATATCTAAAACCTGTATATTCACTTTGGTCCATGCTTCCAAATCCTCTCCTCTGACAGAACCTTTTACTATCAATAAATAATTATCCTGGATTTCCCTATTTAATATGGCAGAATTGCCACCTTTAGTTCTTATTCTGAGAAAACAGAAATCTGCAATGATGACTTCCTCTGCTTTGAAAAAGCCTTCCTCATCTCCGGACACTATTCTGTATTTGATATCCCAGGACAGATCTATTAAGGTGATGCCCATTCTACTCTGGCTGTTGACGTAGGTCCTTGCTGCTGAGTTCTCATACACGGTAGCATTATAAATGGAATGTGTGAAGTGGAAGCCCAGGGGCCCAGTCCCCGGCAGCCCCTGGGAGACGGTGGCCAAAAGCTTGAAAAGCAGGAGGATGAGGCAACAAGGAGGAGGCCGTGTGCCCACACAGTGTCCCATAATTATATCCATCACATCATACTTCCATCCTGGAGGGGAAGAAAGAGAGAGAGAAAAGATAAATTAACCATCCTAGAAGAAGTGGGAGAGTGGGAAATAACTATTAGGAAACCATGCTTTTCAAAACTTTATCATAAAATCTTTTGATTAAAACAGCAATATAAGAAAAAATTAGAAACCTCACCACCACTAGGAAATGAGGAACCCAAGATTACTAGAATTTAGCCGAATCTTGTAAGAATTTTTTTCAAGTGACACTTTGTTTTAAATAACACTTTTATACTGCTGGCAGGGTTGTTCATTGGTACAAGATTTCTTACATTCTGAAGGTCAAGTTAGAGGTATATATTGGAGGTCTTAAGTGCATTTACCTTTGACTTAGAACTACCTTTGTAGTAATTATCCTATAGAAACATTTAAACAAGTATCTGTTATAGCACATTTTAAAGTAACAAAAAAAATTGAAGAGATGCTAAATGCCTATCAATAGAGGACTGAATAACTCATGATGTATTCATAAAATAAAATAATATGGAGTCATTAAAAATAGAGATATAAAAGATGTGCATTTTCAGATGCAGTAAGATATAATGCTAAGGAAAAAGAGGTCATCAACAGCATATATAGCATGAGTTCTATTATTATATAAACATCTATATGTGCAACTGAATCTTTATATTTAAAAAAGATTAACTGTGTTGTGGGATTTGGTGGCATATCTGCATTTTCTAATTTTTCTTTAATGAACATTGTTCATCAGTAGTTATAGAACTAATTTTATAATTATAATCTTTTAAAAATGCTTCAAGGTATTACCATCTTTCACTGTGCTTACTTTTAAACTGATCAAGGCATATACATAATGCAATGCCATGAGAATGAACAAAGTGTCAAGTTACAAAGCAGAGACAATAATCCCTAAGGAGTTATATGACTGGAGTGATATCCAAACTATTCAGAACAAGGGAGGTAAGAGTGATTACTTGCAAGAAAAACTTACGAAATTACAAGAGATCCTTCCAATTACTTTCATCAATGAAAGTGTTTGGACAGTTTATTACAGTTTCATGACTATTATTAAATTTGGACAGTTTCTACAGTTTCATGACTATGTGGGTTAAAAGATGCAAACTTTTTCCTATTTTAGCCAGTAAAATCAATCAAGGAGAGCGGAGAAAGGAGATATTCAATAAGAAAAAATTAAATCTATTCATACCCAAAGGATCAGATTTTTAGAACCCCCGTGTACGAATTCTTCTGTTCAGTCTTACACTCTGCAAGCCCTTGATATTCTCCTTTTCTTCCTCTACAGGGAACGTGAAGATGAGAGGAGATGGGAATGAATTTCTTTGCAGGCATGCAATGATGTAGGCACTGTGTCACTCATTTTCCCATTTTGTTATATTTAATCTTCACAACAGTCCTAAGTAATAGGCACCATTTTACCCAATGACATATTAGAAAACTGAGGGTCAGAGAAGTTAATCTTATTTAGTTGAGACATTTGCCCAAGCAATGTTCCCCAGCCAGCAAGTAGCAAAGCAGGATCTCAGACCTTAATCTTTCCCTAAAATCTATGCTTTTCCCATCACACAATCACTCTCTCAAAATCACCTGCAAGCAAGAATGAAATAATTAAGGATCCTAGAAGCACATATGACATAATTTAATTCTAATGAAATAGTCAACATGTATCATTGATTTTAAAAAGCACAACCCATCCCTGCCCCCAGCATATCTTTTTGGTTATCTCCTCTCTGGTTTTAATGTAGTTCTAATTATTGGCTGCAAACTGGAAAAAAAAAAACCCTATAGGAGTTTAACATATTAAAATATTACAAATTATATTTATGGTTTATAAAACCCTTTCATATCCAAGATTAGCAAGGCACATATTATTATAACCTTTTTGTTAATGAGAATATAAAACCTCATTTTCTTATCTAGACTTTATTAGTTAAGTCTAAATAGACTTAACTTTTTCTTGTTGAATACCTCGTTTCTCCCCTCTCCTTGATTAATTTTACTGGCTAAAATAGGAAAAAGTCTTTATCTTTTAACCCACATAGTTATAAAACTGTGGAAACTGTCTAAATTTAATAGTCATTGATAGAGTCTGGCAGACCCTAGATTAGAGCTCAGGCTCTCTCCATACCCCACAAGGCTTTCCTATTTTTTTTTTTTTTTTTTTTTAGCTCCACCTTAGGAGAGACTCTCCTGAAGTGAAACCTTGAGCATGCAAATGCTGGTTCTGCCTGAGAATGTAAGATATCTTGCTGCTATCATCTGCTTAAGTATCCAGTAGAAAACATGGAGTTACAAATAGAAAAAGTCAAGTTTAATTTACGGACTTTACAGGCATTTACAGACAGCAAAAACGAAAAGCCGAAAAAGGGAGTAAGCTTCTATAAAGGAAGTTAATTTCACATGCAGTTCTTTAGCGGCATCGCATGTACTAAGTAAGTAGAACAAGCAGCCTGTGGACAGCAGCTCTGGTAACTAGGTCAGGGACCAAGTCAGATGGCCGCTGGTGACCCTGCTCAGTAAGTTCCTAGAAAGACACCATTGGGCTGCTGGTCATTTCAAAGGAAACTTTATTAAGAAAATGATACATTTGGGGTTTTCTGGATGCAGTAGCTTCAAATGTCCTACCTAGCAGAGTGGCGAATCCCAGCGTGCTTGGGTGTCTACTTTGTGGAGCACAGTCAGCTGAAATATGGGAGCAACAGAACCTCTCTTTAGTGATCACAGAAGTACACTAGCAGAAGCTTTAATAGTATTTTGTACGCCTCAGGAGTCTCTTCTATTTCATCATCTCAAAAGATTCCAAAGCAGTGGAGAAATTTTTAGGCTCACTGTGGACATGTGTACATGGTCAAGTGAGCAAGTCTCTTGTAAGGGAATGCAAGGTTAGGTTACACTCTCTCAAGGTGAAACACTGGGATCATTCCCAGAATGCTCCAGAAAAATACAAATAAAGTTTCTGCCTCATTTCTCACTCACTATTCTGTGCTGAGAAGACTTCCTGTAACAGTAATTTTGCTAATCCTTTGCCCAAGGAGTCTGGACTCCATGGTCATCAGAGAGGAAAACTTCCCCCAAGAAAAATTCAGTTCAACTGAACTTTTCTGAGTCTGCCCCCTCATTCGCACTCTGGTCTTCTACTTAACGAAAACTGATGGGAAGTACATCACTCTATTCCCAGCACCCAGTACAGCACCCCCCACACAGGAAGCAAACAACACTGGTTTGTTGAACAGAACACTAGGTACTAATGTAACCAGGGGCCCAGATGCCTTTAATATGCTCCATTTCCTATTCCCCAACAAAAAGCACATCTTACTTCAGGAAACCGAATCAAGAAATTATACAGGTTCAAAGGAGCCTTAAAGATCATCCGTACCAATCTCCTGAGTTTACAGATGAAGAAACTAGGGTCTATAAAATGAAGAGATTCTCCTAATACCAGGTCTCAAGTCTCCCAGGTTCAGAGCTAATGCCAAACTGAAACACACTTCAATTGAATTAGTTTTCATTGAATTCCATTACAATTTTGGAACTGTGGTTTATCATTATGTTGGAGTCATCTTCCTTTTCTGACACCATATTTCTCTCCCTGGTGTTATTTCCTCCTCTAAGTAGTTAGCTGTTTATAAATAAACATTAAAGTGCCCTAAGGGGATAGTTACTTTTACAAATCTTTCTGTGAATCTTTCAAGGCAAAGAATGCTGTCATAATATGAAAACATATCTTTCAATTTAACTATTCAAAAATTGGTGCTTTTGCATAGTGAGTTTTTCTCTCAGTAAGATACACTGCTGGAATTGTTTTCTTATAAACCAGAATCAGTGGTCTTAAATGCAAATAGAAAATACTTCAAAACAAGCATAAATGGAGTGGTATTATCATGTACTGAAATGTAGACCTAACACCAAAAAATTGAGCAGGACTAAGTTTGTCAATTCAGTTGTTGAAAACAAAATATCTTTTAAGGCTTTTGTATCTTTATTGTGGCACAGGAAAAAAAAAATAAAGCCCTATCTGACACAAATTATTTTTAAAAGCCTTGTAGTTTTCCCACTGATTAGGAAATAAATGAGTGCTAGAAGCTAGGAATGTTGTAAAATTTTGCAAAGCAAATTCTAGAATCAAATTTTGTCTTCTTTTCTTTTTAGTACGCCAAGACAACTGTTCAGGTTTTTAAAAAAATAATATTGCCTTTTCCACATTGAAGCCAAGCTATTTGTGAAGCCAATATGATAGTTACAGTGTTTTAGATGCTCCACACATTGATTTATTCTACTGCTTCTAGATTATTTTAAAGAAAGCACTTAGTTCCCAACCTCAGAGTCTATTTTCTACAACTTACTAACATAATCAATAATTTTTGATATAATCTCCAAAGAGATCATCAAGCCATCAATCTTCGAGACATTTATTTTTCAGAGGCATTCCTGGTGTGACTCCCCATCCTGCCCTTCTGTTCTGTTAGGATGGATCTTACTGTGGGACTCAGAAGGGCATGCAGATTTTTCTTTCCATGGATGAATAAATACCAGAGACCTTGGGGAAAGGGAACAGCAATCACAGAGACTACCTCTCTGGGACAGCCTTGGCTCTGCAGGGTACCTATGCTTGCTTTGGTAACCTGATAAAGCCGTTTTCTGCCAACATTAATCTGGTCTGCTTAAATTGGTGAGACTTCTGAACACTACAAAATGTATTTTAAAAATATATTTCATTTTCATTCCCTCTCTTCCTATCTTTTCTATTGTGAGGGGATTCTGTTAGCCAAATTGGGAGGATACTCAAGAAATTTGCTATGTTAGGCTGTAAAGCAAAGAACAAAGTCAATATAGAGTCCCCTTGACAGGAGTCCTTGAAGAAGGTGACCCGTGTTCAAACTACAAATAGAAGATCAGTCTCTGCTTTGGTGTATGCAGTGCCAGAGCCAATGCCAACACAAAGGCAGAGCATACAACGGTTACAGAACGTGCACTTTGGCACTTGACTGCCTGCATTCAAGTCCCATCTATGTCATTTACTAGCTTTACGACCCCAGGCAAGCTATTGAACCTCTTCGCACCTCAGTTTATTCTTCTATAAAATAAGAACAATAATGCCTACCAAATAGGATTTGAGTTAATAAATGGAAAATATTTAAAACAGTTCATGGCACATAGTATATAATTGTTAGCTATTATCATTAGTTAAGGCAGATTTTAGAGAAGACAAAATCTGGGAATCAAAACAGGGAGTAAAATTTACAACCTACTCTATGTTTTATTTTCCAGTAGAAAAGAAAACATACACACATCAAAGGTAAAGGAAAGAATGTCCTTTCTTTACTAAAAGCTATGTTAGCCTCAAAGGTCAGACAAACCTGAGTTGAATCCAGGATTTGCCATCTAGTGGCTGGGTGACTTTGGGGTTAATATCGAAAGCTTCATTAAATCTCAGTTTCTTTATCTTTAAAATGGGGATTATAAGAGTTCCCACTGTCAGGTAAAAGGCTTAACATAGTGTCTGGCACATAGTAAATATTCCATGAATATTAATTGACATAATTATTAAGGTTTTCAGAAGCAGCAACACAAAACAAAAAACAAGTAAAACTGAGGTAAGGATAAAGGGTCCAGAGAGGGACCACCCCTAATATGAAAGCTACCCTTTCACAGATCACAAACTTGTGCCAGGGGTCAGAGTCAATGCCACAGAGAGGTCTTGTGCATGGTGACACAGCCAAAAGCTATTGCCAGAGCTCTGTAATCGATTTCAATCCCTGTGTATGCACTTTCAAACTCTGAAAACTACAGCTGCATTAGGGAGCTACTCCTTAGACCTAGCATTTAACTCCTGGGGAGTTCAAGCAAGATTTCTCCTTGCAATGATGAGTCCCAGAACAGCCAGATACTGCTTAGCCCTATCTTCTAGAGCAGTCTATTCTGATACCACTCAAATTACCATTCTCATGGCACCACTTTATGTTCTGGGTCCTTGCTCCTGAAATCAGTTATAGACTGCTCGTATGACATACTTGGGAATAAAGTTTTACTCTCCGGTTGGTGCTAATGGCTGCCTGAAAAGAAGAGAAAGGCTTTGATGCAGGTTATTTTTTTAAAAATACAAACCATTGTAGCTAGAGAATGTATAAGATAATATACTAAGTATTTGAATCACAATAATTTAGGTTATGCCATTATTCACATTATATAATGAAATACTGAGCCAAAACCATATAAAGTCACTGAGTTTTATAGCCAAAGGGATCATAAACTTTTCTACCCCAACACCCTAGTTTAGCCATTGAGGAAACAGACTGAGACAGGTTATGTGATTTGAACAAGGTCACAGAGCTTGCCTATAAAAAAGCTAAAAGTAGACCTGAGGTCTCCGCTGTTAATGTGACTCTGACAGCTCTTGTTTCCTTTAGGAATGCAGGTCTCTATCCATCTGCACCTCCAAGTTTTACTCAGAAGGTTTAGATAAAATGCCACCCACCAATTCTATGAAGCTATTTTGGAGATTTCCCATTCAAACGTGAGCACCACTTCTTCTAAAGCTGTGACTCTTAAACTCTAGAGAGCATCAGAACCAACATAAAGCTTGTTAAATTTCACACTTGTGGGTACCACTGCAGAGTTTCTGACTCTGTTGATCTGGGGTGGGGCCTGAGAATTTACAATTCTAACAAGTTCTGAAGAGATGCTGGTCCTCTCTTTGAGAACCACTGCTGTAGACATTGTCTGTACTTTATTTCTACCTACCTTTCTGACAGTACTGTCTTCCTTAGATTAGTTACTTATGTGTATCTTTAAAGTACACACTAGACCATAAGCTCCTTGAAGAAAAGTTATGGGCCTTATTTCTTCTTATAGTATCTTACAAACAGCCTTGAAATGGTAAAAATTGAATCAATTTTTGGTGAGGCAGACTGGGCTAGTCAGCATACACCATTAACTCTACAGCAGGCTCCAGGGAGAAGATGAAATGAACATCAGTCCAATTAGGAATTATAATCATAAAACTTAGAGACCCTGTGGAAATAGCTAGCCCACCATTTCCCAAACTGTGTTCCACGACACACTAATTCTGTATAGGCTGGCAACTAAAATATTCTTCAGGAAACACTAGTTGAACAAAGATAAAGAGGTTTCTTAAGGTAGAACTTCCTGGAGCCATTAATATGCTCCAAAATTAACTTCCCTCATCTCCCATCCTGAGTCACCTCTAAAAATTTACTCTGCTTTTTAATCTCCATATGAAAGCACAGTAGATATAGTGCCCTCCCCTAGCCTTATTTGAGGCGGGTACGTTTCGAGACACCCAGTGAATGCCTGAAACCAAACCCGATTGCCAACGATTGGTTTGTGTTACCGTTTATGTTTTCCACCCATATACTCAATGCCTTTTCCATCTCATCTAAGCACTTATTACACACTGTGGCTGTAACTTTTGCAGTTTCAGGTGTGACAGCAAAACTAGCACCGATTTATGTTTCCTTCTTTACAACTTCATGGATAGAAGATTCACCCTTACTCTAGGTCTTAGCAATCTCAGCATTTTTTTCTTTTCTTATGAAGTCAGGAACTTTCACCTTTTCACTTAAAGGAAGCAGCATATAGTTTCTTTCCAGCATATTGAAATTGCCAGCATCACTACTCTTGAGCTTTGGGGCCATTATTAAGTACAATAAGGGTGACTTGAACACAAACACTGAAATACCAGGATTGGTGATCTGATAACAAAACAGCTACTAAGCGACTAAGGGGCAGAAAGCATGCACAGCATGGACACGCTGGACAAAGGGAGTACTCCCATCCCAGGAGGACATCGGAGGAACAGTGAGGAATGAAGTGAGAGTTCATCAGGTAACTCAAAATGGCATGAAATTGAAAACTTATGAATGGTTTATTTTTGTAATTTTCCATTTGATATATTGGGACCATGGTTGGCAGTGGACAAGTGAGACATTGGGAAGTGAAACCATGGATAAGTGAGGACTACAGCACTTACTGTCTACTTTACTATTAGAAATAAAGTTCCATGGTGCATAGTCAATTCAGTAAATGTTACATGCACAATCATGCTATGTAAATTGGGATCCCAAGGGACATAGTAGGTACAATTTCAAAAATCTATTTGATCATGAATTCCTTTCTTTCTCCCTATACCTCACACCTATACTGCAAAGTCTTAAAGAAAGAGTGTTCTGTGAAATAGAGTTGGGGCAACATTGAGTCTGAGCTAGACACTGTGGCTCTAGCTGCCTGGAAAGCTTTAGAAGTGAGGTATAATCAATCCCAAGATTCTAAAGACTAGTTCATTATTCTCCTTCGTCCTACACCATATCATAGGGTACAAATTCTCATGTTAACTAAGATGAGTGTTATCCCTGAAGAAACTGTTCCAATACTTGTCATATAAACACATCCCCACATTTCGACTGAAGAATGAGACAACTGCTCCATAATTTGCTGTGCTAAACATTTTTTTCTGATTAGAAAAAAAGCAAATAGAAAATTTGCACAGTTCTGTGAGCCACAAGGTCTAACATGAAGAGAAGAATCTTCTTCAAGTTGAATAATCATCCATATATTTTTGTAATTTTTCTTATCTAGTTTTACTTAGTCAATGGCCAAAAGCAGTTGGCCAAGTCAAAAATATCCTGAGGTATAAAACCAAAAGCCAAGGTCATATTTCACCTCTCTGTGGAAAACTCTCCTTGCCTACCCTGAGCTCTAAGTATGGCTTTATAACAAGAAGATTATTTTATTTACAGGGATATAATATCACCTTTGTCATTCTCCACAAGGGAAAAAAATCCCAAACCAAAGCCTTCACCTGGTTCTGCCAAATAGCCAAGTAGACCATTACCAAAACCCAACCTTTTTCATTATAATAATGCTCTAAATTCTAACTTTTTCCAATGATGCAAATCTTCCTGTCTAAGAGTGGTCTCTTAGGAAAGAAGTCAGTCAGCGTGAAGCAAGAGTAATTCAAGTTGGTTCTGAGAAAAATGGAAGATTCAGCCACACAGCGGCAGTGTTATGAATACCCTCCTTTATTTTCTCCCCAGGTGCTAGAAATATTTCCATATAACACTGGTTAATGTCAAGTATCATTTCATCAGTAAATGCTTCAAATTCAGGAGTGATTCAACCAGGGGCTATCAGAAGGAAAGACTAGCATGTTGTTCAAGCCTTTTAAAAATCACTTCTCTCTCTGGAGAAAGAAATTCATCATGGTATAAGAGGAAAAAAAAGTAAGGAGAAGATATAATTTGCTCCTATGTTTGGCTGTCTGATGAAAATATTCCAGAAAAATGCATTATTTCATTTTTTCTCTTGTAGGCCTCACTGACAGAAACCAAAGGGTAAATATATTAGTATTCTCTCATGCTTAAGATTTTAAAAAAAGAAAGAAAAGAAAAGAAAACCTTTTCTAGTAATAGCATTTACTCTGGAAGAACAGTTTGGAAGAGAAAAGGGGTCAAATCATTTCAAATGGAACAAATAAATAGTGTTAATTCCAATAGTCGGGGGGCAAAATGCAGTTCAGAAAAAAAAGTGCTTGGAGAGCCTCTGATTGCTACAGTCTGACACAATGGATTTTTACTGCTCTGCCAAGTCCCTGCCATCTGCTATATTTCCAAAAGTTAACATCTTTTTAGTTAACATCATCCCAATTGCCATTCCCCTTTAAAAGTGAGTCTCCTTCAAGGAAAAGAGGATCTACAAAGTAAAATCAGAAGACAGAAAAACAGAAGATAGAGGACCTTCCCTTGTTGCACCGCTTTCCTGTTGAGAAAGAGATGGAGACATAGGGCAAGGGGAAAGCTAGTGCATGCTGGGGAGGGGAGGCTTGGGCATACGCAGAGCTGCCGTACCTCATTGAGGTGAAGGAGCATCACGTGACCTTTTTCCAAAGAATGGAAACTCCAAAAAAAGATGTGATAAATGATAAGACATCCTGGATTTTGTGGAGGACGTATGAGAGAATAATAATACAGTTCCAAATCTTACCATGTTTACACATGGGACAGTTCTTGCCCTAGACAAAGCAGACACACCACTCAAGCAGGTGGTTCTGTAAGTGCTTGTCTATTTGGCTAAACATCCCCCAAGAATGTAAGGCAGCAACACAGAGTTCATCCATGGCAGGTAGACAATGAAAATTTGCTACAATGAATTGAATGAGAAGAGTGATACACAGCTGTCTAAAATGGGATAATATTAGCTATGTCTGCCTTCATGAAGGTTGGGATATGAGCAGATGAGTACCAGGAGAGGAGGAGGGAGAAAATAACTGTGCAAGAAATAAAGAAACAATATATCACAAAATGACTGAGACTCTAAAACAGTATTTCAGGCAGCAATCTGAATGAACTCAAAAAGGAGAAGAAGAAACCAAACAGCTTAACATTTATTAATAGAAGGATGAACACACTGCGGAGAGGTAGAAATTATACCATGGGAGGAGGAAAAGAAGATTATTTGGAAATAGGCAGCAATAAGAATTCCAAGGATTTAAAAGAGCTTGCATGTGGGTCAAGGAATACAGTCTAGAAGTTTGCTGACAATCCAGAAATCTTGTCAGTCTTGTCTCCTGATATTACCATCACTGACAACGGTGTCTTAGCAAACAAGGCAAAATGCAAATCTTGTTCCTTCAGCTCTCCCATATTTCCCATTAAGGTTACTTACTATTGACTGGTGCATACAAGCCCATATTATCTGGATTAGTACTCAGTGCTAATGAGACCAAGGTCACCCCTTCAATCACCACATGGGACTACCCAAAGAGTCCTTCTTCCTAAGAATAGGTCAACACGGACAGCTCTCAACTACCCTTCATCTCCACTAAAGAGCCCGAGGCTGCAGAATCCTGAGTCAGTGGGATCCTCTTCTTACACGCTTACTTAAGAAAACATTGTCTTACAGGGACAGGACATTTGTAGACATTTTTGTAGACATGCCTTAAAGAAAATGTCCAAGAACCTCCAGCTAGTTATTTCAGCATAAGCAACCTCAGCCTAACATTCTAGGTCCAGGACAGGGTTACTATCCCAAGGCAGCCACAAATAGACCAGGTGTGTGATCGTCCAGCCCGTCAGAGTTGGCCTGAGTAGAATGCTGCCCCCTAGAGGTGCTGCCACAGAGAACAAGACAAAGCCAGTTGATGGAGCTCATCCTAAGAGAAAACTAGTCTTCCGGATCTCCGCAAATCCTGCTGCACATCCCAAATTTTGACAACTGCATCTTAGCAAACAAGGCAAAATACAAATCTGGCTCCTTCAGCTCTCCCATAGTCCCCGTTAAAGTTATTTATTATTGACTGGTGCATATAAGCCCACATTGCCTGGATTAGTACTCAGTGCTAATGAGACCAAGGTCACCCCTTCAATCATCCCATGGGACTACCCACAGAGTCTTCCTAAGAGCAGGTCAACATGGATCTTTAGAAGACTTAGAACTTGGGGTGGGTAACGTATGGCCAATGAAGTGATTTCCTAGGCCATGTTATATCCTTGAAATGAGGTTACCAAGGGCAATCAGCTTGTTTTGCTCCTTCAATCCCCTCTTTTGGAACCTGGTATCATTTTTGAAACTGAAAGCCAGAGTGAGAAAGCAATCCAATTCAGACGGTTCAAAGAGAAAATGAATGCATAATAACTCAGTGAATTCAAATACAGTTAGGGCCATGGGGACACAGCAGATTGCAGTTCACAGCCAATGAGGTGAATGAGAGAACAACTAAGGGGTCAGGCATTGGTTGACTGTGAAAAGATGACAGCAATCCTACAGCCTTAAGCCACTCACCAGTCTGCAATCTCCACTCTCATCCCCTCCACAGCACTCCTGCTACAACCAACCAGCCACATAGCTGAAACCTGCACAAATCCTAGCCCTGCAGAAACATTTCAATGACTTTCCCGTGCTTTCAGGATAGTAAAGACCAAAACTGGCAAGGGGCAAGGCTGTGGCTGAAACATTTCCGCCAAATTTGAGCCTGGCTTCTTTTTTTGTTTGTTTGTTTTTTGAGACAGAGTCTCACTCTGTCACCCACGCAGGAGTGCAATGGTGTGATCTCAGCTCACTGCTGCAAGCTCTGCCTCCTGGGTTCACACCATTCTCCTGCCTCAGCCTCCAGAGTAGCTGGGACTACAGGCGCCCGCCACCACGCCTGGCTAATTTTTTTGTATTTTTAGTGGAGACAGGGTTTCAGTGTGTTAGCCAGGATGGTCTCAATCTCCTGACCTTGTGATCCGTCCGTCTTGGCCTCCGAAAGTGCTCGAATTACAGGCGTGAGCCACCACGTCTGGCCCCTGGCTTCTTGTTTGGCTTATCTCAAACCACTCTGCTTTACAGCGACACTGGCCTTTTTTTGATCCTAGCAGAACACTTCCCACTTTAGGAGCTTTGCACATTTCCCAAGTTCAACTGGCTTCCTCTTTCCTGATTTCCCATTATGAAAACATGCACAGAGTCACTGCAGCTTCCATATTCTTCAGGGCAGATTTATGTGATCTCCAAGATTACGTATGGCCCCTGTTATGTGTCCTCAGAGCACATAGAACATTTCATTTGCAACACTTACTATTATTCTAAATATATTTAATAAGACTATTTGACTAATATCTGTTACTCCAACTTGACTGTAAACCAAATGAAGAAAGGCACTTTCTCTTTGGACATCAGTTATCCCACACAAAACATACATACTACTGGACACATAGTAGGTGTTCAATAAATATTTGTTGTTTAATGAACTATAAATGCGTTATGAAACTCCAAGAAAATATAGGATTAGATCAGTGTTTTCCCATAGAGTAAGGGGCAATTTTGACCCCCATGGGACATTTGGCAATCTTTACAGACATTTTTGTTATCACAATGAGAAGGATGCTGCTGGCATCTAGTGGGTATAGGCCAGAGTTGCTACTAAATGTCCTACCTAGGACAGCCCCCGAAACACAGAACTTATAGGCCTAATATGTCAATATTGTTGAGGTTGAGAAACCTTAGATTAGCGGAACTATTTCAGCTATAGTGGGAAGGGTAGAGCCAATGATATATTAATAGAAAAAAGCAATTCCCAAGAGGAATTTTTTCATAGCTGAGGCACTGCATAGAGCTCCTCTGCTGCCATTGAGAGGTTCTGGGGATCACGCTCCAGGCAAGGTCAGCTCTGCATGTCTGAGGTTAGAAATTGGGTTCCCTTCTACTGGAGCTGGGATGACTTCCATCCCTACAGTGTAAACCTGACTGGGTTCTGAGGTCTCCACCCACAACAGAGAATTAAGGATCCATCACCTCTTGGTGGTAGAAACAAGATTTCTTCAGGAAGTATTCTCATGTAGCAAGGCCATTAGTCAGTCACCTTGACAGCTAGAATCCCCGCTTGTTCCCAAGGACTAATGTTCTCCAGTTTTTGGCCAACCTGACTTGTATCTCACTCTTTACAGAAGCATTTATTCTGCCAACAAAATCAAGACCCCAGAAGATTAATCTTCTCAGGTCAACACAGGGCCACCTCTCCAGAGGCTCACATAATTTTCTCTGCATGACTACCAAGACCACAGCCTCCCAGGCCTTCAAGTGGCCTCACTTTTCCATGACTTTGAGGAAATCATTTTACTCTGCAGCATCGTTTACGAGGCAGCGGCTGTCAAATCCTGCCCCGCATTATGAAACCAAGTATAATTCCCATAATTCTACCCCAAGCTACAATAACCTAAACAGATTTTAAATGCTTCTCCTTAATATCAACAGCTTCTGCAAAGGAAATAGGATCATTGCTTTGACAAGCCTTAAACTAAGAAGGCTCATTCTATGTACGTAAGTAGATAGTTTTCTTCTAGTCCACCCCTGAGTATATGTAGTTTAAAACCAAGTATACACATTGCCACTAATTATGTATTACAAATAAATAGTTTACACAGCATATGTAAACTGTGAAAGGGGGAAAGCAACAATTTTGAGCATCCACAGCAGATGTTTAGGGCAGCTGTACAGGGAAGCTGACAAGAATTTAGATGAAATTTATTTTAATGTCCCACAAGAGTCAGGGAAAGTTTGTTTAACCTTTACCAAACTATTTCACCCAAGGAGTTCAGATCTGACTTTTCTTTTAGAATAGATTTCTATTGTTGTGTTTAACATGCCTTTCCTATTTCCTTGTTTAAAAAAAAAAATCTAGAGAAAAGGCTCTAGTGATTTGACCATTATGAACAAACGTCATTCAGCCACCACAAATGTAAGCCCAGAAATGTGCTTTTCAATGCCCATGTTTTGGCAGCAAATGTTATAAGAGTAAATGATATTAATAAAGAATTTAGCAACAAAAAGTATGTACAGCAAGTACTTCGAGGTTTGAACTTGAATAATCCAATAGACTATACTACTGTTTTCAAGAACTATTTTCCATCAGGAGTGGTGGCTCATGCCTGTAATCCAGCACTTTGGGAGGCTGAGGCAAGTGGATCACCTGAGGTCAGGAGTTCGAGACCCGCCTGGCCAACATGGTGAAACCCCGTCTCTACTAAAAATGCAAAAGTTAGCCAGGCATGGTGGCAGGTGGCTGTAATCCCAGTTACTCAGGAGGCTGAGGCAGGAGGATGGCTTGAACTCAGGAGGTAGAGGTTACAGTGAGCTGAGATCCTACCACTGCACTCCAGCCTGGGCAATGAGAGGGAAAATCCATCTCAAAAAAAAAAAAAAAAAAAAAAAAAAAAGAACTATTTTCCAGATCAAAAAGAAAAATGTTAGCTCCCAGCCTTATGTGGTTTAACAATACCATCCTTCCATTACTTTCACGTTTTTGGGAGAAAGAACAAACGATAAAACTGGCAAAAAGTTACTTAGACTAAATGTCTTGAACCAGAAATTTGGGCATCCACTACTCTTTGCCTCACACATATTTTTACAAGATCAAGTACCAGGCATTCAAGAAATATTTGTTGAATTGGGAAACAGTAGCAAATAGCTAACACAGAATAAGCTCTTAGCAGGTTGCCAGATTTTACACATCATTTCTGTGTTATCTAAGCTAACTTAAGGGTTTGTGTTTCTAGAGTCAAGGATGTTAAGAGGCAGGAACTTCAGGGGATATTTACAGCAGCAGCCTTACCAGGGAGGTAAAACAATGCTTCTGAGGGCTGAGTATATGTCACACAGGCTGGCGGATGGCTACCATAAAATGAGATCCCAAGCCCCGGACCAAAAGTAAGTGGTTATAATACTATTATATTTTAAAAGGGTTTTTATGGAAGACCAAATAACATGCTTATTTGCCATCCTCTCACAGAATCTTAGATGAAAGTCATATAGTCTACAACTCTACTTCTCCTACTTCAGTTTACTTGGATTCAACATTTCACTACCAGATCAACAAGAATAATTATCTGTTAGTTTAAGATTATTTGATTGTTTTAATCAAATACCTTCTGGTTATTTGGTTTTATAAAAAATGGCCAAAAAAATCAGTTCTGTTCTAGGCAATCATAATATTGATTTCTCCACTAAGTAAACATGACGCAGATAAATTAATTATTTGTGTAATTTTGCCTTTTAAAGTTCATGTAAAGGTATCAAATCTTTATCATCTGTATTATAAAATCCACATAGAGGCTGGGCGCAGTGGCTCAGGTCTGTAACCCCAGCACTTTGGGAGGCCAAGGTGGGTGGATCACGAGTTCAGGAGATCAAGACCATCCTGGCTAACACGGTGAAACCCCGTCTCTACTAAAAAAATACAAAAAATTAGCAGGGCGTGGTGGCGGGCACCTGCAGTCCCAGCTACATGGGAGGCAGAGGCAGGAGAATGGCGTGAACCCGGGATGTGGAGCTTGCAGTGAACCCGGGACGTGGTGGCGGAGATGCGCCACTGCACTCCAGCCTGGGAGATAGAGCGAGACTCCATCTAAAAGTAAATAAATAAATAAAAATTAAAAAAAAAAAAAATCCACATAGAGTCTATAGGAGTTGGAGACCCTGCAGGACTATCTGTCATGGCAGTTGGGCTATTAAGTTTGAGCACTCCCAGTCTTTTGGAGGCAGCGACGACGCAAAGGCTCCTGGCCACCCACGTCCATTGGGAATCCAGCTTCTCCAGGACTGTGGTCGCCTGTCTGCTGTGGCGTGAAAGCAGCCCCCCGAATTTACCATACACTGGCAGGAGGACCCAGATCCCGAGGACTAAAACTTCTATGACAAGAACCCAGACTCCCATTGTTAGGACAAGGACCCCGTTTTGTACATCTGGAACATGCAAGTTGTCTTCTTCTTTGGCGTCTCCATTGTCCTGGTCCTTGGCAGCACTTTTGTGATCTATCTGCCTGATTACAGGATGCCAGAGTGGGCCCATCAGGGAGCTGAGATGCTTGTGAAATACCAAGAGGCCAATGGCCTTCCCATCATGGAAAGTAACTGCTTCCACCCCAGCAAGATCCAGCTGCCAGAGGATGAGAACTGACCAGTTGCTGAGTGGAGCTCAAGAAGTACTACCTTCCCCACCCCTTGCCTGCCATTCTGACCTAATTAAAGGGGCTGAAAGTTTGAAAAAAAAATCCATAGGAGTCAACGCATACCAATCTGATGTTTTTGAAACTTTGTACTTTGTTGTGTCTGTTTGATTTTGGGATTGATTTTGGAATGACTGTCCTACTATATCTTGTTCTTCCTTCTCCACTGATTCCATTTTAATTTCATTTTCAATATCCTTTTATAACATGTTCATAATTTATGTGACACACTGTGTCCCCTTGATTCTAGACTAGGGTCACCTCAAAACCACTAACCTATAACTGCAAAAAACAATGTGCATATACTTAACATTACTGAACTGTATATTTAAAAATGGCTAAGATGGTCAATTTTACATGTTTCTCTTTTTTAAACAATTCAAAATTTATATATATATATATGTGTGTGTGTGTGTGTATATATATTTCTAAATAAGCCTTCTCTAGGGATGGTACTTTTAAGGTTTTTTATATAAGGTGCAGAACACCT